ACAGAATCCTCGCGGGTATTTTCCAAGATTTGGCATAAATATGGTTCGTACCTGGTCTATAAGCCAGGATAAACTACATCTAAAGCCATACTGATAAGGGCCAATCCGTTATTAAATCGCTGTAGTGGAGCAATCTCTTTAAGTAAAGAAAGAAATACCGTTGAGTAATGGAAATAAAACCTGCTATTTATTTTATCAACTAAGCGAACTTTATTTTGTTCCTCCATCTAAATATAAACAACGGTTATACATACACATGCCTGCATGTATGTATGTATGTATGTACATGCTTATGTATATGCACTTGGGAAAGTTCCGTTTTATTGCAAACCAACCTTGATGAAGTAGTTACATGCAATCTCGTGAAATGGTCGAAAGTGTTGTCATGCAATTGTGTGCGTAGGTGTATTTACACAGCTAGATATAGCCATCTACATTCACACAATTTTATTCATTTATTTTCATTTAGTCTGCGCTTTGCTAACATTCCCATTTTATTTCTACCGCATTGTAGGCCCCTCGCCACTTACTAGTTCTAAATGCATACATACATATACATATATCACTGTGTGTTGCATTTTATTGGCCACGCGAGGGCGTAAAATGCGCAAAATACCTTTGGGGCGTCAGCTTTTGGACTGCACTGTTATTTTCCTGTAATTTCTGCTTCTATGTGGTGTGCGTTTCCAATACACAAAAAGCTTGTGTAAAAAGAAAACTCGCACGAATGCAATAAATTCCAATGCAATTGACCTAAAAGGATTTGTTGCTGCTTCACCGGCATCCAGCTTTACTAAAAATTCTTACGGACCATACATATGGTATATCTTTGTTTCTGTCCGTATTGTTGGCATTAAAATCCGATACTTGTTGTTCCTACGCATTAAAATATTGATACTATTGGCGAGAAAGTGGTACGTACAAAAAGCACAAAGCTTGGCAGTATCAAAAATGACACGAATAAATAATTACTTTAACCTATGAGTACATACTAAAGCCAGCACTATTTTCTCAATATTTGAAATCTACATTTTTCATTTTCTGGAACATTTCTTCTTACATAATGGGGCTAATGCTGCTCCTACAATGAATATCACCTAAAAACTCTGGCGAAGGCGAATAAAAACAGACACGAATGCGGTATGACAATTATGAAAGAAGAATAGCTATTAGCGGTACTCAATAGCGCATTCATATATCTCTCAATCCACCGAGCTGGGTTCTTGAACTGTAGTAGCCACTTCAGCGCCGCATGCTCAGTTCGAACTCGGAAACGTTGCCCTTAGAGGTACTTGTGAAAATATTTGATGCACTCCCCCAATGCTAACCACACAGGAATTCCTCTTCGGTTTTCCAGTCACCTTCTTTTATCCATCAACTACCTGAGACAAAACGCATCCTATCGCATAACCACTAGCATCCGTATCCAAAATAAACGTTGCATCTGGAACCGGTTACGCTAGCATAGGTGTAGTTCATAGCCGTTCCTTCAGAGCTTAGAAAGTCTCTTCCTGTCCTTTTTTTCCACTGGAAGGCTTTATTTTTTCAGCTCATCACAACACCTAAACTAGCCCTAGAGACTAGAAATTTTAGAATAAATTCCGAGGGTTGAAAGTGTATGGACATAAATGACCTATGCTCCTCTCCCCTCTACGTGCGACGGCCTCCCGCTCCAGAAGTCTCCTCGGAGGTCACATGACCAAATTTCTCAATTATACAAGTCACCTCTTAACCTACATTGGCCCGTCAAAATACCTGTAATTATGGTTAGTTTCTTCTTAGGGAGGCCTATGAGTGTCCTATATCTTTTCAGATTGTACGCTCCCATTAAGCTTTTGGATTGATGAAGTTCCGTGGTATTGTGCCAGCGCAGTTCTCTTGGGATGGTATTTTCCTTCCTGAGCGCTACCTTTATCGTTTTGGATCCTATCGGGGTCGAGGCAGCAGCCAGTATGGCTAGCTTATCCACTTCCTCATAACCTTCGACATACATGTGCATTCCATAGCAATTGGAGGGTATTGCTCTCAGCCAAAGCATTAAGCCTCTCTACACACTCCAGGACACCCGAGGATTTTATCTCGAAGGATGAGAGAGCCTTCAGTACGGCCCAGTTATCGCTTAAAAACAGAATTCTCTCGCTTCGTTACTTCCTTCATAGGCACAGACTGATGGCATAGACTTACGCTTGAAAGATGCTGACGAAGGTTCCCAGGGGCACCGAGAGCTTCACTTGAGGGCCATAAACACCTGCTTCTTATACCCGCAGGCGTTTTAGAAACATTCGTATACGACTTTAGTGTGCTCGCCTGGACGTGTTCTTGCATGATAAAGGTACTCCAGCAAAGTTAAGGAGAGTCCGCTTAGCAGTTTGTTCGACTTATAGATGCAATGGCTCAAGTTCCAGCATTGCACCGTCGAACACTGCGCATCACTCCTGTAATGCAAACACACACCAGGCGTTGAATCTTGGTGAGGGACTGCCTCGCAGTTGTTATGGTAGTCCGGGAAGCCCAGCCACCGCCCCTAATGTTACTATTGGTCATACTATCATGATGTACATCCATCTTAGGATCCTTGGAGTGCACCCCCAGAATTTTACCTGCTTGATCTTTTCACACCATCAGCAACCTCGTAGCCCTAGGGGTGGCCGCCTCCACAAGATTTTGGAATCTAAGATAAGTCCCAAATACTTCACTTCTGTAGCGACGCCGACCCCGGCCCTCTCCAAGCTCAAGTTCCTCAGCCACTTGCGGGTCCTTTCTAATATTCAAACCTGCATCCACACACCACCTCTTAGCTAAGTTGAGTCCTCTTTGGACGATGTCGCAGAGGATAATTGCGAACCTCTCGTCCGCGTACCCGTGGAACGCCCTCATTAGTGGGTATATGTAGGAGTTCGTCCACTACAAAGCCCCACAAAAAAGGAGATAGCACTCCTCCTTGTGGACCACTTTTGATGTTTGTAATTGAACAACGCTGTCATTGACTACGGCTTCAGCAATCCTGGTATGTAACAGCCCAGCTATCCATCTGCGGATAGTTGGCTGAAATTAGAGGTATTTTTGAAGTCCTGCAGAGCCCTTGAACGGTACACGGATTGCATGGTAAATACCGGTTTTCCTATGGGACAGCTTGCAAGCCGTGCACCGGTCAAGGGCTTTGAAAGACTTCGAAAAGGGCGCTATTGCGTTTCTCAAGTGTTCTTTCGACTCCTATATGGGATGCATTGTCGAACGCCCCTTCGTTATCAATGAAGGATCAGCGATAAGTGCATAGCCCAAGAAAACTTCGTAGTTCGTGCAGGCCTTTAGGTCTTGGTCAATCTTTTACTGCTTCTATCTTCTCAGCAGTGCAAACATCCTCTGTTGTCACCTTGCGGCCTCAGTAATTCACCTCCTTCGTGAACAACTTTTTAGAACTTAGTTTGAGACCATGGCGAGCTATCCTCTTTCCATATTTATCAGGTGCTCCTCAAAGTTCTTGCGCAACACGATGATGTCGTACACCAAACTTGGTATCTAATGCTGTCCCTTTTTAAAAGTGACAGAAGCATCGCATAATCTAAAAGGTCATCGATGTAAATAGCCACAGCACTTGCCAATAGCCGCTCTTCAGGTCGAGTGTTGTGAACCATTTCGCGCCAGTCACCGAGAGTATAATCGATTCCGAGCAGTGGACAGCTGTCCTTCTTGGTCATACGATTTAATTTTCGGTTGTTCACACAGAACATAATTTCGCCATCCTTCTTGTTCACAATAACTACAAGCGAACTCCATGGGCTTGGTCATGGTTCAATCACACAATCTTAGCTCATTTCTTTTATGATCTGGCTTAGAGCATCACGCTTAACGAGTGGTATACTCCGTGGAACATTACGGACTATCTGCAATGTCCCTCTCACCAAGGGAATAGCTTTTAAGTAACATTTCACAATTAATGATGGCATTAACCTCTAGACATTGCCCCCTGGTTTTCCGCCACTGAAGCTTTTTCCAGAATCCTCTTTCTCAGTTGGCTGTTTTCTGAAAATTTTCTGATTGAAATTTTTCTTCAATACGATTTCCTTCTGCACTTCACAGATGCTTTTTCAAGGTGCGAAAAAAATAAGGGAGCGCCTGACGCAATTCGAAACTGGCACCTTCAGCCGCTGCCGAATACGTGTACGTAATTTCAAGTATTCAGCTTAAGCAATCAAAATGCAATTATTGCTTTCAAATAACATCATTTTCATTTCCGGATTGAACGGCTCGGAGAGGTCTTTCCCAATTCTCAACCTTAGTTTATACAGCCGGATCAATTTGGCGGGGATACCAAATTCAGACATAGCGGCGTGTAGGCAACGAGGCATTAGTTGAAAGCGACTTTAAAGTCGTCAAAGAGATGGTGAGTGTAGATCGTTTTATCGCGGGTATTTTCCAAGATTTGGCGTAATGGCCACAATGATAAGGCCAAATCAATTTATTGACGGTGACGTACTTTCACACAATACGCTTGATAAAACCTTGTATCCTATGCTTAAAAGGCTGATCCCGCGGTAGTTGGCGCGAATGGCGTGGTCGCCTTTCTTATGGATTGGGCAAGCACACTTAAATTCCAGTCGTCGGGCATGCGTTCATTTGACCATATTCCGCATAGGAATACTTGAATAGCTCTGCTGGCAGGCTGTCAGCTCCTGCAGGTTTGTGGTTTTTCAAGCGCGATATTGCTATTCGTACCTCGTCATAGTCAGGCGATGGAACATCGACTCCATCGTCATCGATTGGGGGCTCAGATTCATCTTCTTCCCAACTTTCCATGCTGTTAGCATTCAGTATGGTTAAAAAATGTTTCCGTCATAATTTAAGTACGTTCTAGACATCGGTAACTATTTAGGTCGCCATTGTGGTTCTTATAGGAGTTCACCCTGGTCTTGAAACCTTCCGCAAGTCGCTTTACTCTCTGGTAAACTTTTCGGGTATTTCTCCTGTTGGCCAGCATTTCAAGCTCTTCGCAGTCCCACATAGTAAGCGTTCGGCCACCGCCGTTGTAGGCGGCATCGTTCTTCTCTGCAACTTCCTAACACTCCCCATCGTACCAGTTGTTCTCTCGGGCCGCTGAAATACGTCTACATCTTCGGCGGCGGTACTTAATGAGCGGGAAATGTATTTTTTCACTGCTCGCATATGTCGTTTGGTTGAAGAGTGCTCTCTGAGAGCAGGTGGGGAAGTCAAGTAGCGAATGCATTGGCTGTATTTTGTGACTGCAACTTTTCGAGGTTAACTTGCATTTTTGGGCGTATATTTTTTGCTGCATAGATGCGGGTGCGTATCTTGGCTGCAATAAGACAGTGGTCCGAGTCGATGTTTGGGACTCGGAGTGTACGTACGTCTAAAACAAAGGAGATGTGCCTTCCGTCTATCGCAACATGGTCGATTTGGTTTCCCGTTTTTCGATCCGGAAACAGCCACGTAGCTTGATGGATCTTTTTATGCTTGAACCTAGAACTGTATACTACCATATTGTGACCCCCGGCGAGGTCCATCAGTCTCACTTCGTTGTCGGACGTTTCGTCGGGGAAGCTGAATTTTTCGACACTGGTTCCAAATATACATCGAGCCGCTTGCTCCACGAAAGTCTCCCGCTTACGGCCTCACTTACTGGTGAACAGGCGCTGCTGACTTCAGCGAGCTATGAAACCGAATAAGTCGGAGTGGCCCCACCGAGGCTCACTCTCTTTCTGCCGTGACCCAAGACTCCACTCGGACTCGCATATGGGATTCTCGCGTTGCTCAGTGTGCGCGAACGAGGACGAAAGAGTCGGGATTGACTATAGCCGTGAAACCGTGGCTGCATACCCAGAACAACGACTATACCCCATTGCAATTCGATCTGAAACCCAACGAATGGTAAATTGCATTGAAACAACAATCCAAAACCAAACTTAAGTGCCTTTTAAATATTCATCTGAAATCGGCCCCAAATATGCATTGTAAAGAATCCCTAGGTCGAGATAAATCAAATGGCTACAAATTTGTTCTTAAAAACGGCCATTTTTCAGTACTTTGGGAAATTGGTTAACAAAAGTATAACAACACTGTTAGGAACCACTCTATTCACTCTATTACAAACTTTTATTCACTCTATTACTTTATCACCGTCTTTTACTCTAGTACTAACGGCTGTCACACGAACAGGGCTGCCGTTTCCACAGTAATCACGCCATTTTTGATATTCTTTTTTATATTTTACTTACATTTTTTTTTTCTACATTATATATTTTTACAATTTAAAGCACTTAAACCACGTTTTGTACCGAAAACTAGAATTTTCAAATAATTGACTAATCTGACCGCTTTTTTTATCCTCCTTTTTTATTTTAAATTGCGAAATGTCATCGCTCATATTATTTGGCAAATAATTTGCAAAATGGTAAATTTTATCGCATAAACCTTGAGTTACTTTTTTATTTTCAAATATTAGTCACGCAACTCAATATTGATTACTGGTATTACTTGCAAATAACCGGAAGACGATGCCATTTTTAGCTTATTATTTTTTCTATGGTCTTCTTATTGCCCTTTTAAAATATTAACGTTGCCATTTTTAGCTTTATTTTCGTTTTCGGCATATTTAACAGTAAGCTAGGTATTTGCAAACTACTTTTATTTACTATGCGCTTTCTTAGTTTTCCACCTTCACTGTATTTTCTATTTGGTATTTTTGTTTTTTTTTTTCATCTCGAATATGGTACTTCGTTGCTAAAGAAAGTTGTCAGCCCTGCTCACGAACAGCTGATTAGCACCTTTCATGCAGCGCCGCATTGTACTGTTTACGTAAAATTTACCTGATAACGGCGTTAAATGTTTTCTGCCTTATAAGTTTTTAGCATATTTCTAAAACAAGAGAAAAATTAAAATGAATCAAGCCGATGTAAGTAAGCTGATGTCGCAATTGCGGATTGCAGTGAAACCACGTCGAAATCTCAAAAATCCTGATGGACCTGAGGGACGTTTACTAAAACTACGCAAAACTGTGACTGCTCTGGTGAAGCATGAGCGTATAGAATTGTATTACAATCGAGCTGATGAAGCGCGAGGCTATGCAGAACTGGTAAGTAATTGCAAAGAAATATAACGATATAATAACTCTCTATTCGTGTTTTAATTATAGCTAATTTCCAACGCAATACGATATGGCGATCGTCACACATCCACAATGGAGCTGGCCGATTATTGGTTG